ATATCTATATAAGTTCAGTGATTTAACATGTCAAAATAAACATGATATTGGTGCAAATTACCCAACAAATTTTAAACAGAAATTCTAGGCAGTATCACTGTCTTGTGTTATGACTCAGTTTTGAAGATGAAAATGGACAAACTAGATTGTGTGTTCTTATTACAGTTGTAGATATATGTCTTACCATTTCAGAAAATCTTGAATCACCCTCATATTAGTTTTGTACAAAACGTTATACTAAAATTACTAACAGTAGTACAGGGAGAGTTTGTAAAACAGAAAATCAGGATAACACCTGCCCTGTACTTTATCACCCATTTTCGGGTAAATAAAAGACAAATTAGGTTTTGGTGCCTGAATAAAAGTTATAGATCTATGAAATATCTTTCCATAAAAGCTTGGATCACTTAAAACAGATCCCTATACAAGAAGATACGAAATAAATACTAATAGTTATCTAGTGTAAAAACGGGTTTAGTAACTTGCCACAAAAGAGATGAGCAAATTGAGCTTCACCAAGATTGAGTTTTGCTGGTTGGTTTAGTGAAAATTTCTGATGGTTATCATGAAGTATTTCAGGTGATAAGAAGGGGAGAGGGTAGGGGTTTGCTTTGGCATGAAAGAATGAAATATGAGAGGAGGTTAAGGAAAAGCAAGTCAAATAAGTAATATTTATGAACTTTGGATAAGTATGAAATAAAACTGGCTGACCAAACTACAAAATATCTTTAGATAAATACAAAAGGGTGGCAGCCCAAAACTTTAAATATCTAATGTATTTAATTACAATTCATCAAAATAATATTAATTGTTACACATAGCAACACCATAGAATATTTTGTCAATATTAACACAACCTAAAGTAAGAAATTTTTATATATTGTCAAATTCACGTTTAGGAAGTACGGCGTAAAATCTATCTTTATTATAAAGATTCTCAATCGAGAATGCAAATATTAGTTAAAACTTTGGGGTGTTACAGAGTGACTGTGAGTACTGAGTGATTGGGAAGAGTGAGTGACTGGGCGTGTTGAGTGAAATTTCTACTCAAAGAGCATGCATATGATTTTATCACTATGTTGCATTGCATTGGAATGCACATTGACATGTAGGCATAGAGATGTACTTTCTTCATGCCATTTGATAATGAAATTTCTTATTGTGGGAGAATGTTTTTGAGAAAAATTATAGTTTTAAAATTTTCTCATATTTGGTGATTTCGGCAAAGGATTTGAGTTTACTGCTATACTTGAAAAGCAAATGTCTATTTTCCGGAACTATGAATGAGCTGAGCACTTTATTGTTGAGATACTATTTGTATTACTTTCATTATATTGTTATGAACTGTTGCTGGTTATTGGTGTTGGACTCTGACCTTTGTCCCAGCTCGTCACTACTTTCAACTTAAGGTTATGTTTGTTACTTATTGAGTACATGTGGTCGGTTGTACTCATACTACACCTCTGCACCTTGCATGCAGATTTCAAATGTTGTTGTTGTTGTGTATGGCGGGAGCGGGCATTGAAGATGTACCTGCGATCCGGTCATATCTGCCTCTTGTTCGTGGTCTTTAGAATTTTTAATCTGTTCATGTATATTTCAAATAGATTATGTATTTTATTTATACTAGCTTTACAAATTTAAAATTTTAGAAGCTCATGATTTGTACTACCTGTCCTTGAGAAGTGTATTAAAGTCAGCTTTATTATCTTTATTTTTTTCAGTAAATCTCATTAAATTGGATAGTTGTTAATTGGTTTACCTAGCGCGTTGAGTTAAGTGTCATCACGACTAGTTGGATTTTGGGTCATGACATTAGGATTTAGGGGGCATTGATGTCTTTTTGCTTTAATTTATGCTTCCTCCTGGGAGTACCATCAGCTAGCTTGTTTGAACTCTAATATATTAGGCCCAACAACAGAATACCATTTTTTGACGTCAGGTGGACATGTGAGGAACCCACAAGTTCATCCTAACTTTGTGGCACGTGGCATACGTCAGCTATGATAATGTTACAGTAAAATGTTCAATTTTCTCTCTCTCTCTCTTTGGTATTAGCATTAACATAGCTTGCTTTCCAGAGGAGTCTTCACTCTTCAGCCACGTGCTTTCACTTTTTTCATTACAGTTTTTCTAGAGTAAAATGTTTTATATTAAAATTAACAAAGTATTCAATAAAATTAAAAAAAATTAGGAAACATAAGCCACATAACAAGCAAATAGGATATATTTTCTAACTATGTGATTCACTTTAGAAAATTCATTATATAAATTTGGAAGTGTTTAGAGATAGATATACCAATTTAAAACTGTGTAAATACCTTTTGCCTTAATATTTTATTTAATTATTAAAAATAAGAACGAGCAGAATATTAACTATTACAAACAAGTAACTAAATGTATTATATACCACAAATTATTTGCATAAGACTTAATCCTTATATATTATTATGTCATTTCAATTTTTGTCTGCCACCCTTGTATTTTTATGGATTTCAAACCAGTTGAATCTTCATGATAATTTTGAATGTCAGGTAAAAACTTTTAGGTGCACTTACTAATACATATGGTTTTAATTTAGGCAGTTAATGCGAAAATTCTACAAAAAGAAAGGGTCGGACTAGCATTTCTTTAGAAAAATTATTTTCTATATTTTTATTTTTATTTTTATTTAATCTGCTTCTTTCTAAGTTTTTTTTGATAACGATTCACTAGTGCATAATATAAGAAAAAAATTATTATGAAGAGAAATGAAGCAAATGTCCTATCACATTTTTATTTCTTTTTTAGCTTTCATATGGGTTCAACATCTGCATTTAAGTTTTGTGTAAATTTGACATTAGATTAAATTACATGTTAGACTTATATTTTGTGATATTAGAATACTTGAAGATGAAGCTTAAAATATGAATTTCATTATAATGAAAAACACATGATAAAGGATAACATTTAGGCTAAGCTACGTTCATGCAATAATACTGAATTTATAAAATTTAATTGAGTGGTTTTCTCGATTGTTTTGTCTCAAAACCAAACAAGGAAAGAAGAGTTGCCATAGAGACATCCTTTGGACCAAAAAATAAAAAATAATGACATATTAGATAGATTAAATACATGAATTAATGAACAAGTTTGCGGCAAATGAGACAGTAAAAGAAAATTCTCTGATTAACAAAACACAACTTCAGTAGTTTGTTACAATGCAAGTGAAAGATAAAGTTGTTCGAAAAAATAATGCAATAATTCAAACACTCCTCGTCTAGTATACATACAAACATGAGTTGGAAAAGAATTTAAAGACAGAAAAATGCTAACAGCTAGTGGGCTTTGTACGGAGAAGTGATTTCAAGGCCACCCAGCCTCTCTGCAGACCAATCACCATCCAAATAAGCAATCACCATTGAACTGGATGAAGCACACAAAAATAGTCCATGCGAAATAGTACCCTGTAAGTACCTAAAAATACTCTTCACACACTGCAAATGAGTAGTAAGAGGTTCATGCATAAACTAAGAAACAACATTCACAACATAGACAATATCAGAACTAGTCAAAGTCAAGTATTGAAGAGCACCCAGCATGCTACTATATTCACTAGGATCTGAAAGTAACTCACCATCCATAAGAGAAAGAGAAGTACGAGAAGCTAGAGTATGAGAACTGGCATACAAGTATGCATGTGAAACTTAAGGAGCATGTCTGAAATATATTTCTGTTGAGATAAATGAAGGCCACCAGATGAGCGAACAATTTGAACACCAAGAAAATAATGAAGATCGCCTAAGTTTTTCATGACAAACTGAAGGGAAAGAAGACTAATGAACTGATCAATGATAGATGAAGAACTACCAGTTAGAATAATATCATCAACATAAAGCAGTAGGATAAGAATACCTGATGATGAACGATGAACAAACATAGAGGTATCTGATTTGCTACAAATGTAATTATTTTTCTTAATCGAAAGAAGAAATGTACTAAAGCGATGAAATCATAACGTTGAGATTTTCTTAATAGACAAGGGACACAATCATTATTATAAGAATTAATCAAACTAATGTAATTGTTTTTCCTAAGACGATCTAAAGTATAAGCTCCGCTGTGACCTAAACGACGATGCCAAATATCTCCAGACTGACGTAGAGCCTTGAGGATGAGAAGATACTAATGAAGATGCTAGCGGATAAACATCACCCTTACTAGAAGCTTGCAGGAGAGTTTGACCCGAGGTTTTGTCCTTAACAGAAACAGAAGAAGAATCAAAATCGACAGCACAATTGTTATCCTTACCCAACTTCTGTACGGAAATTAAATTATGACAAAGTTGAGGAACATAAAATATGGAGCACAAGTATAATGGACGAGATGTAGAGGGTAACTGAGTATATCCAATATTTTTAATATTAAGCAAAGTGCCATTTCCGACGAACACACGATCAGAGCCAGTATAAGGTGATTTATGCAGAAAATTACCTTCAGATGGGGTCATATGAGCGGACGCATAAGAGTCAAAGTACCAAGTAGCATCATTTGTTTCACCAACAGACATAGTAGCAAAAGACTTAGGAAGATCATTAGCAACAAAAGCATGATTAAATCGATTGGTACACTGTAATGCAGAGTGACCGGGAGACCCACAAATTTGACAAATGGTAGAAGAAGGATGTTGCTCCTAAGACTCCTGCAGATGGTGATGTTGAACTAGCAGATTGTGAATGATAGGAAACATGGGAATTACTACCAATACCTGATGAAGATTTTCCATGAAAAACGTTGCATGAAAAATTATTAGGTGAAGAAACTTGTTTTGATTGACCGCGACCACCAAATAAGCCTCGACCTCTTCCTCCACGACCCCTTCCTCTAGATGAGTAAGACCGAACTCTGCCACGAACCCCTTGAGATATTGATTGATTACCAGAGAAAAAAGAGGAATTAGGAGATACATTCTGGGCAGCAAAGGCTTGATGGGAGTCAACAAAGTCTAGTTCTTTGAGGCGTTACAACCATTGCTCATGAAGCAAGAGTTTGGTACGAAGTTCTTTAAGAGATAGTTGGCCTGGATAGTGTGTAATGATTCCAACTAGTGTGTCATACTCTCTTCCTAATTCAAGAAGAACATGGTCAATAAAATCTTGAGTAGACACTTGAGAGTTAATTGCCGCAAGGGAGTCTGCTATTTTCTTGGCCTCTCGGAGATACTCATCAATAGTCATGGAATCTGATTTGCGCATGGTAGTAAGTTGTCGCTTAAGTTCTATTGATTTAGCTTGACTAGCATCCATAAAACGTTTTTGTAAGGATATCCAAATATCACGTGATGTAGGTAACAAGTGAACATCAACAAGGACCTCGCGAGACAATGTTGCAAACAACCACAGTCGCACACTTTGATCAACTCTGACCCATGAACGATAGAGTGGGTTAACTTGCTGGTTACCAGAGACATCACATAAAAATTGAGTTGGTTGAGGTGTAGAACCATCTACAAAGCCAAGGAGTTCATGAGAGATCAACACGGAGGTAAATTGAGTACGCCAAGTGAGATAATCTTCAACGGAATTAAGCTTGATAGTCACCAAGTTAGTGACGTTTGGTGCAGCCAATGCCGCTGTAGAATGAAAAGGGGATGGAATTGTTGGTTCTATTATTCCAGCATAAGGTGGGAGAGAAGGCAGACCAATCTGTCCTATAAATGAACCTGGTCGAATACTAGGAGCAACATAGTGAAGGGGGAAAGAGTGTTGTAATGGAGGCAAAGGAGGAATTTAAACAGATGACGAAATATCTGATATTGATTGCGTAGTTGCAACAGTTGTTGTAGGAAAAGGAAGCGAGACATCTGAAGAATGGGGAGTAAGAGACTGGGAAGCCATAGTAGCGTGAAAGAGGTAAAAGAAAGTGGTAGGACAGTTGGATTGTACTGGACGTCTGATACCATAAAGAGAAGTGATTTCAAGGCCACCCAGCCTCTCTGTAGAGCTGTTCATATATATATATATATATATATATATTGAATACAAAGGGTAAGGAAAGTAGGTAATGTAGTACAATACAAATCAAACTCTTAAGTCCTACAAGTAAATGGACTAGGAGTCCTAATAGGCTTAACAAGGAAAGAGGCCGCAAAATCTGAAAAACGCTAGCCTCTATAAGTTGGCAGGATTATTTGGGATTTCGCCAAAAGAAAAAGGAAACGAGGAGGAAGGAGAGTAGATAATACAAGTAAAAGCCTTACCTCGTTTATGCGGTTGAGTTAGTAACTTAGTTTATCTCAGTGGACAAGTATGTTTCTTTCACAACATCTAGACATGGTCCTTACTTAAAGAACAATCAAATAAAGAGGAAAAAGTGATTCATGGAAATAGACATATGGGCGAAGCTTATTGAAAAACTTTTGCCTCGTTGAAAAATGTAGTATTGTTTGTAATAAATTAAAGTTCTTTTGCAATTTGTAGTTGTAATAACCTCTACTTACTTTCAACTATATAACCTCTACTTATTTTCAACTATATCAGAACCACCAGAACATGATTTTTTTATGAAAAATGGCAAAAGAAGTATAGGGCTTTGGTATTATTAACATACATGCAATACTCCTGCTTACCAAAAGAGCAGTACACAATTAGGGCAAATTACCAGTTTTACCCCTCTAAAAACTTATAATTCCATGAGTATCCTCGTTCGTACATCCTTTGCCACTTATAAATAACATAAATAATCATGGTATAAAACTCTGTTTAGTGGATTATGTTACGTGTTGTACTTATTTTCTTACTATATTGAGTTTTTCTTTCTCTCGAAGAAAGGGCAACATGTTTATCAAACTTGGGTTTTTATTTTTTTAGAAGAAAATTAAAAATCTCTCATATTTGGCTAGTCATTTTTCTTGGAGAAAAATGTTTGGACTTATATAAATTGAGGATCCCTCCTTCACATTCAGCAGCATCCACAATGTAGCCATAAGGGGTCTAAGAGTCTTGTTTAGGTGGAGAACTTTTTGGGACAAGTGTTAGTGTGCTACTTGTATTTTCCTCTTCGTGAGGTTGTTCTCTCGATATTTTGCACTCTCTTTTATATAGTGGATTGCTCATCTCAGCCGTGGACGTAGGTCAATTGACCGAACTACGTTAAATATCTGTATCTCTTTGGTAGATTTCTCTTTTATTGTCTGATTTATCGTTGTTCAAGATTTGTTTTATTAGCTTAATCATGACACCTGCTTTTTTTGTGGTCCTAACAGACTAAACTTGTAAAATTCAAAAAATGAAGACATTTGTTATAGGCTCGTAACCTGACTCTTTAGTTAATCAGGCTTCTTATCATCTAGACTAATGAGTTGCCACCTGATAATTGATATCTACTAGATAAAGGCAAACCATTTTAGTATGTTATCAATACTATTTTGCATTTGGCACTCGGTTTTTAATTCGACCCTTTATTCGAGTAGTTTTTTTTTTTTTATGGAAAATTGTCTGAAGCATATGCCTTTTCAAATCCAGTAGTTATTATGTCAATTATGCTTGTGTTCTTTTTTTCTTAGCCTTTGTTTGGCAAACTGTTGGAACTTTTCGGGCAATATTACCAATTTTGAACATAAAATGTATGTGTGTGTTGGGCCCCCCGTAGCGTATATTTGCAAAAGATGTAACAAATAAATACTAGGAATTAGTATAGGTTAGTGAGTAGAAAACTTGAGATCAGTTCAAAGAGGGAATTTCTTCTTTGAAGGTGGAAATGAATAGCCAAAATTTCATATATAAAGTAAAAATGAACTTCAAAAGGCAATTCCAAAATCAATGGGATTTTTGGAATCGTCTCTATAATAATTTTGGCCTCTCGTTCCCATAGTAAACGATATCATCCTCTATAAGTTGGTAGAAGTAGTATTTGGGGTTTAGCCATTTGTAAGAGGCCGAAAGGAAGAATATGAAGAGAGGCCGAGTATGCTCTCATTTTCTTCACTATATTGATGTTTAAAAACGTAAATTTATTACTACTAACAGACTTAAACATGTGATCCTATTAGTGAAGTCTCTCTGTTTTGTCAAATTTTCTACCTTAGTTTTCCATTAATTGAAATCTCTCTGTTTTCTACTAACAGACGCATATATTTTTGATATATAGGTTTTCAGGGCTTATTTTTAAGGTTATTGTGGACCCTGACGACACAATTGGAGATGTTAAGGCTATTATTTGTGTAAAAAAGGGAATTCCATATCATAAACAGAGGTTAATCTTCAGTGGAAAAGAGTGTAGTGATTCAGAGATTCTCACCAACCTCGGCATTCAAGATGACAGTGAACTTATTCTTCATCATTTGAGTGACTGATTCGGAGTATAGTAATTGTTTTCTGCTAAGTGATATTGTATCTTTTTCTCTCTTTTTTTTAGTGATAGTGAGTCCTTGAGTTGGTGAGAAAAGAAAGAAAAGAAAAATATGTAGTCAGATTTCAACCTTGGGTGAAGTTGCAATCAGTAGGTTAAAGCTGTTCTTTTAATGTATTTATCGGCAGCCTCCTTATATTATAGATGCTCATTTATCCTGTGGTGGGATAAGTTATCAGATTGTTGTGCGATACTACTTACTATCTTTTAAATTATGACTATGTTCAAAATAGCAACATTAAAGGTGGCTATCGGTGCAAATTGCTCCAATTCTTTTCTCGTTTTAACCATTTATGATTTCCCCTTCTTGAGCCACTCCCTCTATTTACAGCGATTCATCTATTAAGCTTTCAAAATTACATACAAAAAGAGAGAAGGATGAACAAATGTGGACACTTATTAAAGTGGTATACTCCTCATTTGTTCAAGGGTGAGCATAGCATGAAAAGCAGGAATATTAGAATCATTTGGTATCTCTCAAAATTATCTGAAGTCGTAGTAAAACAAATTAGTTCTTCTACTTGTCATTCGGTTCAAAAGTAAAAACATGTGAATAAATAAGCAAATTTGGTGCGATAAGATATTGTCCTTTCAATATTAATCAAGTACTTCATTCGTTCACTTTTATTTGGCATGTATATTAAAAATAGATTTTCATTTTTACTTGTCACTTTACGCATATCAACAGAAGACAATTTTTATTTTCCTGTTATACCCACAGTGTTTATTACTCATTTCAAGTCATTTTCTCAAATTCAATAAAATATGCATCAATTAATATAGGTATCAAGGTACACTTCATTTATTATTTCTTAAGGGGCGTGAAAAGTCAAAATATGTCAAGTAAAAGTGAACAGAGGGAATAGTTACTGAGTCGTTAATTTTACCTAATAGTATTTTACACGCATTTTGATAGAATTAGTAAGTTTTAATTTTGACATTATAGCTATAATGCACAATATAAAATAATACTATGACACACCCTATAACGACATCTACAATGGTGTCATCAGCCTCAACCCTTAACCTAAGTTTGCGTCCGAGAAAATTCACACGAATTTGCGCTATCGGTGCATATCGAAGGGAAGAAGAGTCTGCGCATCTTTTAGAACTCCACCCTCCTCCTTCAAAAGCTTCGGTTTCTTAAAAGGAATTCCCTTCTCCTATTGAATGTATGAATGTATGCTTTTACTGCAGCTATATTGTCATCATGTTCAACCATTAGGTGAAAAGCTTAATTTTGATTCTGAATTTGAATTATTACAACTACCATCTTGTCACCACTCAAAATCCAACTAGCCGTGATGATACCTAACCTCACCTGCTAGGTAAGTCAAATAACAACAATACGATTCAATTAATATTTAACTGACTCTAATGCACTCCCCAAGGACTGGTAGTACAAATTGTGAGCTTCTAAGATTTGAATTTACAAAGTTGGTGTGCAATAAAATACATCATCTGTTTGAAATATACATGAACAGATTAATAATTCTAAAGCTACCAAGAACAAGAGGCAGCTGTGACTGGATCGTAGGTACATCTTCAATGCTATCTCCCGCCATGCACAGCAACATCAGCATCCAAAATCTGCACGCAAGGTGCAGAAGTATAGTATGAGTACAACCGACCCCATGTAATCAATAAGTAACAAACCTAACCTTAGGTTGAAAGTAGCGACGAGCTTGTACCAAGGTCAGAATCCACACCAATATCCAGTAAAATGCTCAAAGATTGAGGCAACACAAAGAATAACTCAATAATAAAATGCTCAGCTCGTTCACAGTTCCAAAAAAATAAATATTTTCTTTTCAAGTATAATAGTAAAACTCAATTCTTTTCACTGAAATTACCAAAATATGAGTAAGTCTGAAAACTGTAATTTTTCCCAAAAATTTTCTTCCACGATAGGAAATTTTATTTTCAAATGGCATGAGAAAAGTACATCTCTATGCCTACATGTCAATGTGCATGTCAATGCAATACAACATAGTGATAAAACCATATGCATACTCTCGGAATATCAATTAACTCAGTCCTCGCAGTCACTCAATCCTCTCAGTCACTCAGTCCTCTCAATCACTCAATCCTCTCAGTCACCCATGCCTCACAGTCACTCAATCCTCCCAAATCACTCGGCACTCGCACTCAGTAGGTACCTGCGCTCACTAGGGGTGTGTACCGACTCCGGAGGGGCTCTTTCAGCCCAAACGCTATACAAGCCAATCATGGCATATAACAATGAACATGTTGCGCTGTGTAGCCCAATCCCATAAATATCCTCACAATTAGGCCTTCGGCCTCACTCAGTCATCAACCTCTCCAGTTTCTCGGGTTTATGATGTCATGAAAACTAGCCCAAAATAATAATATAATGTATCAATAAATAGCAACAGAGACTGAGATATGATATGATATGAAATGAATGAACATGACTGAGTTTCAAATTTCAATTTAAACAAATTCAACAACAATATGACCTCTATGG